CACACACCCACGTGGAAGCAGATAGGAAAAGGATAGGGCATCTTGGAATGTATAATACTTTAGCAATAAATAAATAAATAAATAAATAAATAAAAGGCAGTAAATGTGATGAACATCTTGTGTTTACAGAAATGGCTGTTTGATACTCCGGTAGTTTCATTACTTTTTCTTGTTGCCTCTACTTTTGCTTACCCTTTAAGATTTTAATTTTATTTATTTATAGGTTTCTTTTTGAAGATGATTACAAAATTGAGAAGGATGTATGCCCCGTGTGGACTACTAATTAGGGTGGGAAGGGCCAAGGTTTGGGGAAACAAGATTTTTTACAAAGAAAATATTTTATGCTGTTTTCAACAGTGCCACACATATGACGTTTTTCCACCACTATCTTTCAATAGTTCCCATCATACACCTGTATTGCCTGTAAAAGCAAACACAGGAGCATTTATTTTTATCAAAAAGAACTTTTTTTAAAAAAAGGCAGGGTTTGTCAGTCCCGTCGAGCTGTTTTTGTTGCCATGTAATTTTAGTGAATCCTCAGGATGCCTGTGTCTCCGCGAGTCTGTGAATGGTGCAAAATGCTCTTTAGGGAAGAGCAGTGTGGAAGCAGACTAGCCTGTAAATGAGTGTGATCGGCTGATAAAAAAGCCAGCTCCAACAAACCACTGTAAAGATTAGGAGCCATTTAAACACAGCGCGCGCGCGCACACACACACACACACACACACACCCCGCCTCTCGCCTCTCAAACCTTGGGTGCTGAGATCTCTGGGTTTTACTTGCGAAGCAGTTGCGTGCGATGCTCCTGGGAGCAGCCGGCAGGGCAGACTTCTGCAGCTTGTCTCGCTGACTCAGAGGACGGCTCCACATTCCTTAATTAGCAGCGTCAGAAAAGCTCCACTTCCGCAGCAGAGTTCCTGGTCCAGCCAGCTACTCAGCTGGCTCTATGCACCCGACGTTCACGCCGGGGATTTTCAGAAAAGCCTGGGAGGACAGATAATGTTGCTTATTGTGCTTTGTTTGGCTTTGCCTTCTTTTATTCTGTGTTATCCTGTTGGAGTTCATTCTATTGTATTCTAATTTTACAGATTGAACAAGACCGTTTATATTTATTTCCTTGTTTCCATGGACACCTTGCATAGGGAATGGGATCATGGTTGGAGATGGAATGGATGAACATTTGGCCAACTTGAAAACATGGCTTTCTTGGGTGTAGTCGGGGTCAGAGTCTGAGCCCAGGTTCCCCTTTTAGTACCAATCACTTAAATTAAGTCTGTGATTTGTATAAATTCTCTGGCAGAACTCATATGATTTCCAGACATGATTACACGGTGTTCCAGTGTGAATCAGTCCATCGTCTTTGCCAAGGCCATGGCAGTAGCATCATAGCCTTTATTGAAATGTCGATTTCTCAGGAAGCATTTTCTCATAGTAAATATTGAACTTCACTTTCATTAAAAAAAAAAAAAACAAACATTTATTTATTTAACTTGAAAGAGTTAACAAAGACACAGAATCTTCTACCTGCTGGCTCACTCCCTCAATGGCCACAAGGCAGTAACTGAACCTATCCGAAGTCAGGAGCCAGGAGCTGCTTTCTGGTCTCCCACATGAGTGTAATAGCCCAAGGTCTTGGCACATCCTGTGCTGCTTTCCTAAGTTATTAGCAGGTTGCTGGATGAGGACAGGGAGCAGCTGGTATATGTAACAGCAGGGCGCACGTGGATGCCGGTACCACAGACAGTGGCTTAGCCGGCTGTGCCACTCCACAGGCCCCTGTAAACGTCATCATTTCCACAGTTATTTACTCCGTACTTTGGGGTGTTCTATTCTATTATTATTTTATCTTATTATTATTTCAAGAATGACTTCATGAGGCTGAAGCTCCCTGGGGGAGACCTAGACAGTGGTCCTGGTACCTGGTTTTGGACCAACCCAGCTTCAGCCTTTGCAGCCATTTGGGGAGTAAACTGGAGGTTGGAAGATCTCTGTCTCCTTCTCTCTTTGTAACTCTACCTTTCAAATACAGGTAAATAAATAGCAGAAAAATGCGGCCGTTTGGGAAGCTTCTTCCAGGTGTTCTGTGTGAATGCGAGCCATTAGCAGGAAGCTGGACTGTGGGATGCCAGCACAGCAGTAGACAGCTTAGCCCACTACACCAAAGCCCCAGCCCCATAAAATAAATCTCTCTTTGAAAGATTCATTTTTTACTTATTTGAAAGGCAGGATTGTAGAGAGACAGTTACAGGGAAAGACAGAGAGAGGTCTCCCTTCTGGTTGTTGCTTCCTCTGGTAACTCCCTAAATGGCTCCAGCAGTTGGGGCTGGGCCAAGCAAAGCCAGGAGCCAGGAGCTTCCCAGGTGTACCAGCAGGGAGCTGGATTCACAGTGGAGTCCATGTGGTATGCTGGCAATGAAGGTGGCAGTCCAACATGGTAAGCCACAGCACAGGCTTAACTCAAAAGACTTGGTTTTGGTTTGGTTTAACATTTATTTCTTTTTCTCGGATAGGCAGATTTACAGAGAGAAGCAGAAACAGAGAGGAAGGTCTCCTGTCTGCTGCTTCACTCCCCAAGTAGCCACAATGGCCAGAGCTAAACCAATCCGAAGCCAGAAGCCAGGAAATATTTCCAGGTCTCGCACATGGGTGCAGGGTCCCAAGGCTTTGGGCCGTGCTCGACTGCTTTTCCAGGCCACAGGCAGGGAGCTGGACGGGAAGCGGAGCAGCTGGAGCATGAAGCAGTGCCCACATGGGGTCCCGACACATACAAGACGAGGGTTTAGCCACTGAGCCACCAAGTCGGGCACAGCTTCAGAGGTTTGGAGGGAATGAAATAATCTCAGGTGGAGACGAACAGATTTAATGGGACTTTTTAAGATGTTTATTTGGAAAACATGTTTTTCTGCCTTTACAGATCCCAAGTCTGTTCTCCTATGCATGGTTTCACTTCCCACTTTCCTTTTCTTTTTTAAAAGAAATTATTTTCACTTTATTTGAGGGGCAAAAAGGTGAGGAAAAATGTTTCATCTTCTGCAATTTACTACCCAAACTCCTGCCACACTCAAGCCTAGGTCAGGCGACAGGGGCCCTCTACTGCCAGCCGGGATGTACCCCCGCAGGAAGCCGTGATGAAAGCAGAGCTGAACTGTGGCAGCCACGTAGACAGGGAGACGCTGGATGGAAGAGCTCTCCCTGTCCTGTCTCTGCCTCTCTAACAAAAGCCACCGTTTGACTCAGTTGCTGGTCCGGTTCCCTGCACGCTTCTGAGATTCCCTGTGTCAACGATGATGAAGTCTTTGTGGAGAACAGCGTGTTACTGATTTCTGTTTTCTCAGAAACCATGTTTACAAAAACGTCTCTTGTGAAAAATGACCCTGAAGCCAAGACGCTAGATTTTTTTTTAAAAGTCAAAGAAATCCACATTGAAATGAAATGATTCTTACTAATATTTAGAGGGTATTACTCATATCTCCCAAAGAAAGGGAAGTTAGGCTCTTAAGAAAAAAAAAAGATGATATTTGAATTCACACCCTCCACTTTGTTCTTCCATCCCTATAACGTCTGTTTTGTTGTTGTTGTTGTGTAACTTTCCAAGTTCTAAAGGTTTAATGACTTTCTAGTTGTCAAGGTATGATTAGGGAAACAGTAAAATTGTAACCTGTAGTAATTCTGAGCCTGTTTTGTCTGGAATCCTCCCAGAACATCCGGTGTGTTCCGTTCGTCCATATGGCCGAGGTGGACCTGGACTTGGGAGCCCGGTGGGGGTCCGGGGGATCTTCTGAGCGTGCGTGGGAGGCTCTGGGCTCAGCCAGCCTTCTCTGCCATCTCACCGGGCTGGTGGCTCCTGCCAGGACTGTTAGATAGCGCCCTACGAGCCCTCCTGGTCCTGCTGATATTTCTGCGCCTATCAGCCGCTCGCTTGCTATGGGAGCACTTCCTTAGTCATAGACTGGCTATTTATTCGGATGTTCTCAGCCAGAAAAATATTTTGAAGATAACATGTGATTATTTAAATATGAAAAAAAAATACATGCTTCTAGACCAAAACAAAACTTAGGAGGAATTCTTCTTTTTTTTTAATTTAAAATATACATATGTTTTCTGTTTGAGAGCTTGGCCTGGCGTTTGCTATATTCTGATTCTGAAATTTTAGCCATTCTTAAGAGTTGAGAGATGACTTTTTCTATGTCTTTCCAAATGATATTTGAATGCTCCAGTCTTTGGAAAACACATTTTCCGACCATCTAGCAACACTTAATATCTTGTATAGTTTCTAAGATTAAGGAAGCAGGAGGAAGCAGGAGAGATTTGGCAAGCAACCTGCAATAATCTGACAGGGAAATTCCTGAGCAACAGTACAAGGGTTTGAATCTATTGGAACATTTGAAAGCAATTAAAATGTTTTTTTCCCAAAAAAACAAAAAACAAACAAAACCAAACCCTTTTTTTTTAAGTGTACACAGGCGTAAAACTGAAAATGCCGATAAAAGTGTAAATGATCCATTAAGCTGGTCCCTCCAGGCGTCTTTAGGGTGTGTTAGTTTTTTAGAAAAGCTGATTCTATTTTCATAACTCACAGCTAATGCATCTTTATTGCGTTGACAGTCTGGAAAAGGACTGAAATACCACCTTCCAGACACGGGGAGAGGCACCGACAAGGTGTCCGGACGGTTAAGCTACTGATGCGTGCTGCAGCGGCTTAGCCTGAATGTAGGAGGACGCAGCCCAGGAGTGCGGCTACGCCATGAGCCGCGAGGACCTTGTTGCTGGGTCTGTGCATCGGCCATCTGAAGACAGAGTTCCCAGAGCTGACATCACATAGCAGATTCTAGAGGACTCACTAGAATGTAACGCATCATTCTTTAAAAGTACTTTTTGGTTATTCTGTGATTAGAAAGGTTTGCTGTACATGACTGCGGTCTTGCTTTGCTGTCTTGCAGCTTTTGAAAATGCTGCATCATGCCTTGGTAAAAATCATGTAAGCTTCTTATATCTTGTTTTTCCTTCTTCTCAGATGTTTTGTAAACTATAAACGCTCCAGGGTCCCACCTCCCAACTTCTTTCACTTGAGCAGAATGGCATAGAGCACCTCTGGAAACAAACGTTTCACTTGACACTTGGATTCAAATCCCGAGTAAGTGACATCCAGGGCGCCAGGCCATGGAGTGCTGTGTTTTTTGTTTGTTTGTTTGTTTGTTTGTTTTTCTTTGTTTGCAGGGACCCACCACCCACTGCCTCTGGGGTGCGTGTTAACTGAAAACTGGATTGGAAGGGGAGGAGGGACTTGAACCAGGGGCCTGACAACAGGGTCTGGGCATCCCATGCAGCAACCAAATAGCTGCTCCACAATGCCCACCTTGTATTTTTTTTCTTTTTTTAAGATTTATTTTTATTGAAACTCAGTTATACAGAGAGGAGGAGAGACTGAGAGGAAGATCTTCATCTGCTGATTCACTCCCAAAGTGGCCACAATGGTTGGAACTGCAGCAATCCGAAGCCAGGAGCCAGGGGCTTCCTCCCTGTCTCCCACGCGGGTGCAGGTTCCCAAGGCTTTGGGCCAGCCTTGACCGTTTTCCTAGGCACAAGCAGGTTGCTGGATGGGAAGCGGGGCTGCCAGGATCCCAGTGCACGCAAAGCAAGAACTTTAGCCACTAGGCTACTGCGCTGGGGCTCCACCTTATATTTTTTAAGATCGACTGATTTATATGAAAGAGTTACAAAGAGAGAAGAAAGGAAAGAAAATCCATCCACTGGTTTACTCCCTAAATGGCCACAAACCAGGAGCCATGGGTGTCAGCTGGATCTCCCACATGACTGCGGGGGCTCACGCACTTGGGCTGTCTTGTATTACTTTTCCCAGGTGCATTAGTAGGGAACTGGATTGAAAGTGGAACAGCTGGGACACAAACAGGTGTCCATATGGGATGCCAATGTCACAGGCATTGATTTTACTGGCTGTTCCACCATCACAGTTCCTTGTGCACTTATGTATATATGTGTCTGAATAAGCATCTTAAGGGACCAAGTTCATTAAACAAAAACCATCACATGATAGATAGATACATAAAGACTTATTTATTCTGAAAGGGAGATTTAGAAAGAGAGAGAGAGAGCCAAAGGGATCTTCCATTTGCTGGTGCCCTTCCTCAAATAGCCACAATCGGTTACGCTGGGCCAGCCCAAGCCGAGAGCCAGTGACTCCACATGGACCTCCCACATGGTTGGCACCCAAATATTTGGGGCCCAAGTATTTGGGCCACCTTTAAATGCTGTTCCCAGGTCGTTAGCAGGGAGCTTGATCAGGGAGTCAAGCAGCTGGGACTCAAACTGGCACCCATAGGTAATGCTGGGCAGCACAGGCAGTGGTCCAGCCCACTGTGCCATGACGCCAGCCCCCTTCTCTTTCCAAGTATGTAGATTGCTTATCACTTCCTACTTTGTACTCAAACTTTTCAGGGTGTGGTGGAAGGAGTGTGCCATAACTGTAAGATGGGAAACCTGATGCATTTTGTCTGTAAGTAAATTCTGAGAAGAGCCTCAGCAACACCACTGGGCTGTCTGCGCCAGAACAGAAACCTTTAAGGCCGTCTGTGAACGGAATCTTTACGTGTGCTTTCTACTCATTCTCTGGGCATGTCACATGAATCAGGTGCCTGGACCCCCATCAGAGTCCTTGGGCGGGAGTCTTGGCTCTGCTTTTGATTTATCTTCCCACTGATGTGCACCCTGGGAGGCAGGAGGTGACAGCTCAAACACTGGGTGACCAGCCTGATGTTCAGGCTCCCAGGTTCAACCTGGACCAGCCACTAGCTGGTGTGGGCATATGGGAAGCATACTAATGGATAGATCCAGCCCCACTCCCCATTTCAAATAAATAATTCCATCCATCTAGCCATCCATCCATACATACATATTTTCAAAAAACAAGAATGGTGAGCTCCTTCTGGAAGGCATGCTAGGGTATGCTTTTCTGGACTCCAGAGCAGGGGTTTCCTCAGCTCAGCCCAGGGGTCTGTCCAGCATGGGACCCGCTGCTAATGGACTCTGGGGGCTGTCACCCTGCTGGGCCACACCCTAGATCCGTGTGATTCGGTTGGCTCGCTTCCTGGAGGTGGCCCTGTTTCGTCCTGTCTCCTGAAGTCTTCCCACCTGACAAAGGAGCAATGGCACCCTCACAAGGTTCTAGAAGGCAGATAATGCATGTCCACAGCAATGCAAACACAGAGGCACAAGCTGGGCTTTCTTTCTAGAAGGACAAGCGATTCTGGTTTTAATTCATGGGGCTGCATGTTGCAAGATTGGTGACCTGATATCTAGCCTGAAAAATCAGATAGGGAGGGCTGCCCCTGGGCGCTTGCAATCCAGCTGTGAGTCTGGGGAAATACCCAGGGGTCCACAAGACCATCAGCCCAACGACCCAAGCAGGCTGGAGCCTCGAAACTGAGCTAACACAACAGACAGGAGTGACAAAAAGTTGAATTGTGTAATTTTCTCAGCAACATGACCCGAGGATAGCTACTGGCTTGCTCTCTCTATTCTAGAAAATGTTTTCAGTTTTCAGGTTTCTTCACACTCAGCACTTTTCCACGCTTGCAAACTGTTGTACTTTATTATGAGGCTGTGTTTTGAGAACGTGTGGTGGAAGTTGGGATTTTTTTTTTTCTCTTCCTCCTGTTTTTTTCTTTTTTTTTTCCCCCCTCTTCTGCTTTAAAAACAAGATAAGCCTGTATGCAAATAGAATTCAGGGTAACCACAGCAACATTCTGAACTTTATTTATTGAATTACAGAATTTTCCTTCACCCGATTAAGCTCTATTTGCATACCATTGTCATTAGAAACATCTATTCCATTAATGAGTCATTTGAGAAGTCTGCCCTGATAGCCCTGGAGAGCTGGAAGAAGGGATGCTTTCTGTATGAAAATGTCATGATTGTTTCTGTGGAGGGAGGAAGAGAGAGAGCAACTTTAAAGAAAACTTCCCAAGCTGAAATGTGGCCCAGATGAATTAAGGTAATCTGTGAAATGGGTTGCACTCTACCCTTCACACGCTTCTGAAAGAAGAGTAATCACTTTATAGACTATTTTAAAAAAAAAAAAAACAAGAAGGAAAGAGAGAAGACAACCTCAATGCCTTTCTCAGAAAGAACAGGAAACCTAAAGGAGGAAGTGTGTGACAGTTTAGTTTTCAACAAGGACACGTTATCAAGTGAATGAAATTCCTCCGGAGGCTATCAAAACGAAGCCGAGCCGGCCTGGCTCGCCAGCAGGAGGGTCGCCACGGGACCGGGAGCCTCCTGTCCCAACGCTGTTATTCAGGAAAGCCAATTATTGCGCTTTTTCCAAAAGGAAACACTGACTCATTCACGAAATGATCTGAGATTTCGAAACTTGCTTACACCATTTTTTTTTTCTCCTCCTTTCTACCTGATGCCAAGTGTAGGCTGAACTAGTCCCCAGGGCCTGGATCCAAGAGGCTGGGGCCCAAGCAAGCGGCTGGAGGGCTTTGTCTGCCTCCTGCTGTCCGGGGGGGGGGGGGTGCAATCCCACCATGATGGCCAGCTCAGAATATTTAGGGTCCAGCTGGAGGGGACCTGGTGCCCATGATTAACTGGTTCTGGCACAGCAATTATTTGGCCATACCCCTGGCCGGTCTCCAAGTTTCATGTGGAACAGCAAATGGGCGTGGGCCCCCAGATAGGCAGGCCCGTGCTCCTGGGAGGCCTGGCACGTTAGCAGCCGGGACACTGGAGCATGTGGCCCGAGCTCGGATACAGATGTGAATGTGGCTGGCTGCGAAATGCTGACTTTTCTGTGCAGAGCGTGTGAGAAAACCTTGTCCCACCCAAGTCCAGCTGAGCTGATTAAAACCTGGAGGCAGCTTCCTCCCAGTGTCGCTCCTGCTGAGAAGACGGTGTTTCCTGGTACTTCTGAAAACCCGATTTGAGGTGAATTTACTGAGAAATAAGCCACAGAAGTTTCTGGGCAGGCCAGTCCATGGAGGCCACTCATTTATCAACAACTGTAGGTCCATGCAGATAAATAATGCAGACAAGGAAACTGTTTTCATCCAAACAATACAGAAATGCCTGGAATCCTGCCACCTCAACACGACACCTTATGTTTGCCTTTTGTTGCTAAAAGGATTTCCCAGATCCAGGCTTTCCATGCGGCTGCAAAGGAGCTGGCCGGAGGGCTGGCATCAAAATCTGTCATTTCAAAGGTCCTGAAACGAGGGCCGGTCTGTGGCAGAGTGCAGTAAGCCACTACCCGTGACAATGGCATTGCACATGGACGCCAGTGTGAGTCCAGTCTCTTCCACTTCTGATCCAGCTCCTTTTACTGTGGCTGGGAAAGCGGAGGAAGCTGAGTGTGTGGGCCCCTGCACACCCACGCGGGAGATCCAAGTGGGAGTCCAGGCTGCTGGCTTCCAACTGGGGCAGCCCCAGCCTTTGGAGCCATTTGGAGACTGAACCAAAAGATGGTTGGGCTGTTGTTCTCTCCTTTGGAACTCTCTGCCTTTCAAATAAATACTCAAAAAAAAAAAAAATCTGAAACAGTGGCTCCGAAGAGAACTTGACCTTGCTGAGGTCACCCAGTGAGTTAGCAGCACAGCGTGGACTTACAGCCAGAACTCAAGATAAAGTGCTGGGCCTGCCCTCCCCACGAATGGTCCCAGGCCAGACCGGAACCTTCCTGAATGTTCCCTCTTTCCTTCCAGGGAGGCTCTGCTCCCAACTCCCGGACTTCAGGATCCTGGCCTTTGTCCCCAGCAGAGCAGCAAGGGGTCCAGTCTGGCACTAGTATCAAATGACTTCCTTCTTGCATGTGTTCTCGGGTTACATTATGCATGCGAAGGAACCTCAGACTCTGGACTCTGCAGCCACTTGTCAAAAAATGAAATTAAATTAAAAAACCCCACCCCTCTCAGGCCACTGATGTTCCCCAGTGAATTTAAATTTCCCTTGTGTTATGTCTCACAGTTTTCACAATAATGTAGGAGCCTTATGTTGTTTTTTTATTTAGTAAGTAAAAACTATTTTTAAAAAACCCTATCTCTTAGATCTTTGGTGTAATTCACACGCTGAGTGGTTGTTACTCACAGAAGGAGAAAAAAATAAGACGGAACAGAGTGG